CAAGGTAGTTCCACCTGCTTCTTTGCTACTTCCTCTCCCGTTCACACACACACATACACACCCCTTCCTGCGGTGGTGAAATGTAAAATTTGTTACTACCGGTTCTGTGGGCGTGGCTTGATGTGTGGGGGGAATGTGACTGGGTGAGCATGGCCAACTTTTTTTTTTACTTTTAAAAGCATTTTTTCTACAACCTCTTTGGCTGAAGAGATTGTAGAAAAAATGCTTTTAAAAGCCTCTGACGATCCCAGCTGAGTCACGCGATCATCAGAAGCTTTTTTTTTTTTTACTTTTAAAAGCATTTTTTTTTTTTGAAGAGGTTGTAGAAATAATGCTTTTAAAAGTAAAAAAAAAAAGCCTCTGATGATAGTGCAGCTCAGCTGGGCATGGGGGGGGCGGCGCAGGGATTTTTGCTACCGGTTCTCCGAACCACCCGCCGCCATCGCTACCAGATCGGGCGATCCGGTCCGAACTGGGAACATTTCACCCCTGCCTTCCTGCCTTGTGAAGCAGCCAGGCTAAGTTAGGTTTAGTTTGTTAGTGGCAAAACCCATACATTGGGGCCAAGTTTCCAGAAGCTTAAAAAAAAAATCACATTTTTAAAAAAATTTCACAAATAATAAAGGACATAAAACTGGATTCTTTAGTCAGTTTAACACAGCAAATGTGGAAATATATAATTTTTGCCCAACAATTTTAGAATCAAATTAGATGGTCAAAAACTAAAAGGTGAACAGAATTACAACTTCAAGGTATCTTTTCTAAGGTTGATTTAGATAAAAAATGTAAGTATATATGGGATTACAATCCTAGCAACATAAGGCAGAAGATATAGAACAGTTAAAACGCGGACCACACGTTTTCTGAACAGTTTTTATTCCAGAGTTATAATTGCACTCAACAATGAACTAAAGGGCCACCATCAGTGAGCTGTTGGACAGCATTACTTGGTCTGTTGTGTGGATGTTTGGGTGGTTTAGGGATGGGGAATTTGTGGTGGGTGGGAGTGTGTTTGGGGATTGTAATGTGTGTTGGACCTGGTCTTTGGGTGTTAAGTGAATTTTGTTGTATGGGTATACTGTGTATACACGTACAATGACAAAAAAGTTGTTGTTATTATTATTATTATTGAAGGAGTTTGATTTAAGGCAGAACTCATATTGCCTTGCCATTCATGATCTGTCAATTAAATAAAAACATTTTGGCTTAGGTAGGATTTCTTTGAAACTTCTAGGCTTTTTATGTAGCCCAGCCTTATATATCTGATTTTAATTGTCGTAACAAAAACAGTTCCATCTCAAGTAGGATTCGTCTTAGCTTAAATAGGTTTTTAAAAATTGTGTTGCAGTGATTTTTAGACTTGGCGTTATCTCTCTCTCTCTCTCTCTTTTTTGGCTTGGAAACTAAAATAATCATTTTCTTCCTGAAGGTGCATCACAGCTTTCACAACAACTGCATCTGCATACAGTTACTATCATTATGGCCGAAAAACAGTTCAGGTGCTAAATGACAAATGAAGTTTTGCAGAATGACTGCTCTCCTCTCATTCAGGTTGTGTGGAGTTTATGAAGAGACTATAAATGATACCTTTGCCTCAGTGAAACTATGCCTTCACGACGTTAAAATGAAGTTTTGATCATGTAAATAAGCAGAATTTTCAGTGTATTATTTCAATCTATTACAAATAAAGATTATAATTTTTTACTGTACTGAACTTACATATATATAAAGATAATTGTCTGATATTATTTGTTGACTGCTGTCCAGAAATTTGCACTTGGTGTAGGTCACTGTGCTGTTTCCTTTGGTGTATCCCAAATGAAACAGTTATATGAAATAATTGATACAAGCAGAATTTAGTTGAGTTTTACTGTATTTAAAATGCGATATGATCGATGGTGCAACCTGTTACTACAATAAATAAATGTAATAGAGAGGGCAGTAAATTTTATAGAATATGGGTACAGTATGATCTTTATAACCCTTCATACACTTGTCTTCTGGTTTAAATATTATGGTTGCAATAGCCCTTTAAGATAAAACTTTGGTCACTTCTTTCTTAGTCTAATATTGGGGCATATTTAGGAAAGAGCTGCTTTAACTGTTCCAGTGATGTGCTAACATAGTTTTGTTAGATTGTTTTGAAAGATGACCAATAAATAAAATAAATATACAAGCATGCAGATGCAAAATAGAGAATCAAAATAGTTGATTTTCCAAGGCAGTTTTGTAAGGGGCTGAGATAAAAAGTGTTCTCTGAATAAGGCCCGCAGAATAATTAATGTTGAAATAAGGGCAAAGCTTTATGAGACAAACTTGGTAATCAGACGTTCTATGAAACAGATGATTTGATTGTGGTTTCTTAGTTCTGCTTGTACTGTAAACTTCTGGAGATTGTCCTGGCCTTTTTTACAGGCTTTTTATAAGGAGTATAACAAAATGAGTGCATCTATCATTTTGTAAAGATTTTCATAAGCGTAATAGGAAAAATTGGCCTATCTATGTGCAATCTTTTGTCTCAATTCATCAAACTATTTTAAGACTGTAGGAAAGGTGAAAGATTGATACAATCTGAAGAGTGACCAGAGTCTATTTTAAGACTATAGCAACTTTTCTAATGCATTATGTGTCAGTGGAAGGAAAAATATTATGGCTTTTGATAAATTTAAACTGTACTGCAGATTTCTTTGGAAAAGTTTTATGCAAGCACTAATATTTCTCATCGGTATGGTAAGCAGGTACCATTATCTGACAGCTATCTTTTGCCATAATACCAGACAGCTAAAGAAATGGGTATTAAAAGTAAAACAAGGAAGGTCCTTCTTTGATCCGGCTGACATGAATAAGATGTTGAGGTTTCTGTCAGAAGAAGTTTGCAAATCTGCTGCAAATATCAAATGTGAAATTTGTTAAAACATAGGAAGTTAGGACAAAAGCTACTGTATATGTGATACTAATATTTTGCCCATTTGATTAAGTACAGGAATCAAAACAAAGGATTAAAATTGTGTATATTTAGCTCCAGTTTCCACAATAGCAGAATTTAAGCTTTTTTTTTTGAGATGTTGCAGAATTGGATCAGACACACTTAAGTACGTGCAAACAAATAATGTTTCATATGTGATAAGCAATTACCTGAATATAAAAATACTTGCTAGGCTGAAAGTAAATGTGAAAATATTGCGTTAAATATTGCGCTCAGTAGAAATGGTTTTACTTTAGAAATGAAGGGAGAGAGTTTAAATGGTTGGGATATTCTATGCATTATAGGATATTTAAAAAATACATTTTATATATCTAAATTTTATAAAGTTTGTATGCTGAAAATATTTTTGATGGTTTATACAAAATCAGGCTGCTGCAATCTGATTGTATTGCAGTATATAACGTTTCCCCCCCTATTTCATTAAGACAAAATAGGTGATATGCTACACAACCACAGAAATATATTCTTTCAACCAGATAAGCATAAATGTTGCCAATGCCAAAATGCAAGAAGTTTGAAAATGAATGGTATGCATGTTTGTCTGCAGTCATTGCCTTTGCACTTTCAAAATAAACCCTTTAAACGATTTCACTGCATCTAATTGTGTTCCGTGAACCCTTTTCAAGCATGACACTGGCTGGTGCTGTCATAGTGTCCCTCACATTGTCGTGGTTGCTGAATGATGTACAATGACCACATCATAGGAAGTCCATATCAAGAGTCTTTAAGCTGAGAAGAGGATATTAATGTTTAAGGCTGTAAATGGCTTTGTGCTCGACTCTCATGTTAAAATCTGTAGGAGAGGCCCTTTCTAAGATGCTTTACTTTTCAAAGGCTCCACTTCTTAAGAGGCAGCCTTGTCCTGTGCATTTAAAGCCGGTTTCTTTAGCCAGGCCTCTAAATGATAACAAATTTAATTTGTTCAATTCTAAGCATATCTTGTATTTCTCGTGCATATTTTACATCAATTTAACTGGCAATAAAACCATTTAGCCTTTGCCCTGGTTCCCAGGCCTTTTAGGGATATAGTCCTTGGCATGCCATTAGTGGCACTTGGTCAAGAGAAAGTTGTGCAATCAGGTTTAAAATACAGGTAGTCCTCGACGTACAACAATTCAGTTAGTGACTGTTCAAAGTTACAATGGCACTGAAAAAAGTGACTTATGACCATTTTTGCACAGTTTAAAGCATCCCCGTGATCGTGTGATCAACATTTAGATGCTTGGCAACTGGTTCATACTTACGACTATTGCTATGTGCCAAGGTCATGCGATTCCCTTTTACGACCTTCCGACAAAAACAGTCAACAGGGAAGCCAGATTCCCTTAACAACCAGGTTGCTAATTTATCAACTGAAGGTAATTCACTTAGCAACTGTGGCAAGAAAGGTGAAATGGGGCAAAACTCACTTAACAAATGTCTCACTTAACAACGTAAATTTTGGGCTCAATTGTAAGTCGAGGACTATCTCTATGCTGATTAAAATTCCCAACAAAGGCGCTATCTGCATGTTCACAGTTATTCAGAGTGTTCTTTATGCCACCCTGATCTCTTCTAGCAGCTGGAATTGGATCTAAGCAGGAAAATTAATTGCTCTATGCTGCCTAACTTTCTTATTTTGGTTCTTCATTTTCTTGCCAGAATTATCTGTCGACTATCTGATCATCATCTGCTTAATCTCATTGACACGACACTTTCCATACCAAATGAAACAAATAGATACGTGAAATCATGAGAAAATGATATTTAAAATCTTATTCTATAACAATGAATTATGTTTTTTAGGATAATTCAGGTAGAATAAGACATTAAATTGGCTTCTCTGAATACACATTTATTGTACAGAGATTGTAATGCTTAAAATTTCTAAACCTTTGATTTATTTTCCTACACATTGTGCAAACTTAACAGAAAGATTCTTTCATGTCTAAAATGTGCAAGGAATAAATGTATGTTACAAAATATTTAATATTTTATCACTGACAGAAGTATATAAATGACTGAAAATAGCAAGTTGCACAGTTGATCTTTTAATAAATGCCACAAATAATACATTCTAGTTTGAAAGGAACTTTGTATAAACATTTACCTCTTCACTAAGAAGATGAAATAATTTCATTTGGAATTTAAGAAAACAAATTTAAATTAGGAAGGCAAAAATTGGGGTGCAATTTTTTCTTTTTTTTAAACAAAATTCAGAATTTTTTAAAAAATACTGATTCCTACATTTCAGGTTCACCCTGGAATTTAAGGCAGAGATCACATACATAAATTAAATCTGTTGGAGAAGATAAACATTCTGACTTTAAGTGATTTCGGTAAAGAAATTATGCTTACAGCTTAAACCTAAACATATTTATTTGGAAGTTTAATAGGACATGCTTCCTGAGCAGAGTGCTCAGATATTATGCCTTTTTCTAGAATTCTTTATATACTTTTTAAGAGTAAGCCCCACTGAAAACAATTAGATTTATTTTTAAACACTGAAATTAGAGGGAAGACTAGTTTTTCTCAAAATATGGCCTTTATATTGGAGAGTCCTATAATATAAACATTTGGGGCCTCTCCCTCAAAAATATTTCTGAAAATAATAATTGTGTAAGTCAAGAGTGCAGCTAGCTAAAGCAATTATGTAATTTGGTCTACTGTTCAAGTGAAATACTTAAGATTGTGCTTTCCCCTTGACTTTGCTTGTTAGAAGATTGCAAAAGGTGATCATATGACCCAGGGACACTGCAGTTGAGTTGCCAAGTGTTCGAATTTTGATCATTTGACATAGGGATGCTGCTATGGTTATGTGAAAAACTGTCACATCACTTTTTTCAGTGCTGTGGCAACTTCCAGCGATCACTAAATAAATGTTTGCAAGTCCAGGACTATCAGATTAATCTTTCTTATTCTTTGTGGGTTTCCTTTCTGGTTTAACCTACAGTTTGTGATGTGGCATTCAGCATCCTCAGGTCTTTGGATGGACCTGAATCTACATTTTGGATCCCTGGTCCCGGCAAGCAGAATACACTATTGACAATAGATCAGATCTGATGAGGAAAAGGAAGATCTACTATCTACTTACAGTAAACAAGTAGAACATCCAAGTGAAACGGACAACTTTCATCTGTTAAAATCTGACCATTTCGTCCTCAGTTTGGAAGCAACGATGCCAAATATTTTCATAATGATACCCCATCCTCCCTTGGCAGCCTGGTTAGATGTCACTGCTCAAAACATATTCACTGCCGAGTGAAGGTAGTATAGTGGATTTATGCATATGGAGGCACTTCCCATAGCACAAATAAGTTGTTATGAGTACATAAACATCCAATCTGACACAATAGGGAAAGATGGGAAGGAATGAAAGTTTTTGAGTTCCATGAAATATGTAGCATAGGAGGTATTTTTATATCCTTGGATGACCTTTCTCACTACGGCATTGTAACACTCATATGACGTTATCCTGTAAAATCCATTTTAAACACTTTTTGGTCCATGAAAATTTTCATATCCAATGGGTCTTGGCCAACCAACATTTAGCAGTCTCCCATCAAATCCACTCGAGAGAATTGAGGGACTCCCCTCAAAGAACAGACATAGTGGCAGCTTCAAGAGGACAGAAAAAAATCAGGTTCTCATTCCTGCTGGCAAGTCTGATGTTTCTGCTAATTGGATTAAATGCTTTAAATACTGGATTAAGTGTTTTCTCCTCCTAAAAATAGCCTGAATTTTGAGGATTTGTGGTAGTTGTTTCCTATTCTTCATAGTTTTAAATATTGAAAATAATTTCTGATTGCTTCAATTGGAGAAGAAATTTCACAAGGAGAAAGCAATACTAAAGCAAAACAATTGAAAAAAAAATTCCTCTAACTTTTTTGGGGGGAAAAAATTAGGAGGAGGAAGAGGGGGAAAAAAATCATCACAATGGGTAAACAGTTTACAACAATGGCTTATATTTATGCCAGTCTCATTACCCTGATTTATTTTATGGAATAATCAAAAGCAGGATTTTTATAAGATACTAGATGTGTGCTATATTGCTCTATGTGTGGTGTCTTGTATTTTTTGCACAGGCATACTGACAGTAATATGGTAGCTATGAGAAAGAGCCCACTTGTTGCGCACAGAGCCACAAAGATAGATGTGTAGCTGGACTTTGTGACAAAGGTACTGCACGGAGGATTATGCTCATCCCGGCCTGTAGTTCGGCTTGATCCTGCCTTGTTCCAGGCAATTATACACACCTGGTAGGTAGAACCAGGAAGAAGGTTAGACAGAGTGTATCGCCTAGCGGTGGCATAAATTTCTCCAGAATTTGTATAATTCTTTTTGCTGCTTTTAGGACGGTAAGCAAGCTGGTAGAATCTTACTGCAGAATTTGGGGAGCACCAGTGGATCTGGGCTGAAGTGTCCCTCATTTCAGATACTTCATGAAATCTTGGCGGATCTGGGATGGTGAATTCATCCGACATGCCTGGGCACAAGCAGGAAGACAACTTTTGGAGATCAGCACAAGGCTTCTGGAGATGCCTGCATGGATCATAATCACACAACTCCACGGCCTGGGCTACAGATGCCACTTGCCTGTTTTCATAATCATAGTCATCTGTATAATCCAGTAGACTATTAGTAGATGCAAGATTTGGAAGGGAGGTAGATTTGGTGGAATCCTGAAGGCTTAGATCATTCTCGTTTGAATCTGCTTTACTGTATGAAATGAACAAATCACTGGAAACTTCGAAAGAAGATGTTCCTGTCACTTCAGTTGTAAAACTGTGTAAAGTAGATTGGTGCGGTGTTGTGGGATCTTCTTCCCTTTCATTCGTTTCAGTTGTGCTCACTTCAGGATGCTCAGTAGAGAATTTTCCTGGGATTGCTGAGAACTCTGTAGTAAGAGGTGCAGTAGTCAGTGGGTGCTCAGTAGATCGATAAACTGCTTGCTCTTTGTAAGCAAGAATGTCTGTCTTACTTGGATCCTTCCTTGTTAATTCTCTCCAGGTAAAAGATGTGCTATGAGGGATGAAGGAATCACTGAGAGACTTTTGAAGTAATGTACTAGAATTGGCCAATATTTCTGTAGTGATGCTGGTAAGGGTGTGGTATAGTTTTCCTTGAACCAAAGACAAGGTCGAATGCGTGGTTGTCTGAGTTTGACACTGATCATAGAGTTTGGATAACAACATAGATGAAGATGTTTCTTTATCTCCTGGAGAAAAATAGCACATGGTGTCTGATGCCCTGAAACAAGATAGTAAGAGACCAAATCAATCAAGGTGTGCTATGAGGTAGAAGAAAGATGTAACACGTAAAATATCACTGTAGTTCTATATCCCTCATTTGTGTTTCTGCATTTTGGATGAATGGTTTTTAGCATTCTCGTTCCAGTGCAAAAGTTCAGCTTTGCCTCTTACCTTATTATGTTATGACTATCTTGTGCTCTGAGGAAATAGGATGAATCAGAGCAGTGGTGAAATCCAATTTTTTTTATTACTGGTTCTGTGGGCGTGGCTTGGTAGGTGTGCTATGGCTTGGTGGGCATGGCTTGCTAGGCGTGGCAGGGGAAGGATACTGCAAAATCCCCATTCCCACCCCATTCTGGGGCCAGACGGAGGTGGCATTTGCTGGTTCTCCGAACTACTCAAAATTTCCACTACCGGTTCTCCAGAACCTGTCAGAACCTGCTGGATTTCACCCCTGAATCAGAGTGAGTTCTGGATCTTTGGTGGATTTGATTGACTAACTTTAGTCTCTAGTTCCTTATCATCTACACAAGGGGTGTCAAAGTGGCAGCCCACAGGCCAGATGTGTCACATGCAGGCCACGCCCATTCCAACTCCGTGAAGGGAAAAACGTCACAACATGTTCAATGTGACGCCATGAGTTTGACACCTGCGATTTACACCCCGTTTAATGTGAAATATACCAGTGCTCAGTCTGTTTGTCACTGTGTGCAAGTTGCTGATGAGAACCAAATTACAACTGATGGGCCTATGCGCCCCTATCTGAGAGTTATGTTAGTTTTTAAATATGACCCCTATAACCTTTCAAAAATGGCAAAATAGGTATGGAAAATATAAGATGTGATGGGTTTTTCTAAAATGAAACTCATAAATTTGCCTTTGGTATATATTACTGTTTACTTTTCTATCTTCTTTTAGATCTTGCTGATTCAAGATTTTTTTTTTTAATTTTTAAATTAAAAATCCACACAACAGTTAATGACAGCATTAAATGCCTTTTGACCCCTGGTTACACAACCCCTATCCTTTTAAAAGCTGATTTGGCCCCGAAACTGGAGTTATCTTCATTCTTGTAACCCTTCTTACCTCTGTAGAACAACTGTATTAGGGTTTGACAGCAACCAAGAAATTTCACAATGACAAACCAAAGGATTTCCATAGAGGTTGACGGAGAGGGTGTGCGATGAAGTGAGATTCCATGGACTGAAGTTGCTCAAGTTACAGCTAGGAAAATAAACAAATAAACAAGTAAATAACTAATAACAAGCAAAGAAGCAAAGCAAAGCAAAGCAAAGCAGAGCAGAGCAGAGCAGAGCAGAGCAGAGCAGAGCAGAGCAGAGCAGAGCAGAGCAAAGCAAAGCAGAGCAAAGTAAAGCAATAAGCAAGCAATTGAATATCCCCATTACAGGTGGTCCTTGACTTAACACTTCATTTAGTGACCAATGTCACAATGGCACAGAAAAAAGTGACTTGATGACCATTTTTCACACTTACAACCACTGCAGCAATCCCCTGGGTGACATGATCAAAATTTGGACACTTAGCAACTGACTCATATTTATGACGGTCGCAGTGTCCCAGGGTCATGTGAGCCCCTTTTGTGACCACCTGATAAGCAAAGTCAATGGGGAAGCCAGACTCATTTAACAACTGTGTTACTGACTTAACAATTGCAGTGATTCACTTCACAACGGTGGTAAGAAAGGTAGTAAAACAGGACAAAACTCACTTAATAACTGTCTTGCTTAGGAACAGAAATTTTGGGTTCAGTTGTGGTTGTAAGTCAAGGACCACCTGTATTTGTTTGCTTTATTGTCATAAATGGTGGAGGGAGATTGTATTATGTAAAATCTTTTTTTCCCCTCTTGGTTATACATCTGTCCACTCTGCTGCCGCCTTGATTTTCTGATATGAAAAGCAAGTCTTCCCATGAAATTTCTGTTTGGGATTTATTTTGAGCCTATGAAGCCCAGGTGACTGGAGATTGCTGGAGAGACGATTATAAAATGAAGTATGGTTTCTCTTTAGTAATGCATACCAAAGGAGATTCCATCCCGGCAATGAGAGTTACCATTTTTTCTTTATGCTCGATAAAAATCAAAAATAACTTATTTTCCATCAATACTGGAACATTTTTACAAGAGCATATTATGATGAAAAATACCAGATGATTGATTGAACTATATCCTTATAGCTGAATCAATTATCGTTACAAATTTCACTTAATAGATTAAGGAATGAAGTCAATTCATAGAAGGAGGGTTGTGATGAGCTTCATCCAATCTGATGTCCTGTAGATATGTCAGTCCAACAAATTCTCATCTCCAATCTATACAGTCAATTGGCTAAACAAAATTGACCTTGTAGCCCAACAGGTTTAGAAGAAAGCAGTTGAAAGCTCAATTAAGATAGACCTCTGCTAATAAGTAGACACAGGAAAGCTTACTTTTTAAATATTAGGGAGGCCACATGAGGTATGTGGTGGAACGACTCGGTTTCCACTAGACTTAGTGCATGGGAATCTTGGCAGTTCAATTCTCTTAGCATGGGCAGATTGTGGAAGACAGCTGGATCCAGTCTTCTTAGCTTGGGCATTTGTGTTAGGTAGAAGGAGGTGAGCTGTGGCAGATCTTTGATCCAGTCCTCGTGAACTGGGAAGAAAAAGGAGGAGGAGGAGGTCAGATCAAACAAGGGACAGACTTAAGGAGATACTGACTTGAAGGCACCGGTGGGACCTGTGGACCTCAAGAGGCTGAATTTCCCAGTGGAATTTCTAATCAATACTCTCCTGGAACAGGGGTCTCCAACCTTGGCAACTTTAAGACTTGTGGACTTCAACTCCCAGAACTCCTCAGCCAACTTTGCTGGCTGAGGAATTCTGGGAGTTGAAGCCCACAAGTCTTAAAGTTGCCAAGGTTGGAGACCCCTGCCCTGGAGGATATCCCCTTCCTTATTTCTGCTCCAGGGAATTGTATGTTCAGTCATCTGTGCCTGACTATATTTTAAAAGCAGACTATTTTGCAACCAGAATAAAACAGAAATAATTCTGTGAAGAAGGAATTGGTTCTAAGGTCTTTCTGTCTCCTTACATTATATTTGAGGTAGATAGAGAACTTTTGAATAATTATTAGTGTGCTGGTTGATATTAATGATGCTTAATCATAATCATCATATCAAAATACACTTTGGAGAATAGACAGCTTGGAAGTTCTTCAACCAAGGATAATATCTGGATCAAATCAGACATCCCTGCCAAGAACCTTCCAATAATTGCCTAGATTCTAACATTCACAAGTGAACATGGTGGACAGGGCTGTGGAAATGTAATTCAAACTACCTCTTGACCCCACGTTGCTTATTCTGTTCTGTATTGTAAATGAGAAACACAATTTACAGTAAGCAACTGTAAAAGTACACATATACAAATTGTTTCTAAAACTCCTAAAATATAGGCATCAGGAGGAAAAAATATCTGGGAGCTGGAATACTAAATTTACCCATTCTTGGTTTTTAAAAGTGAAACTAGATGGTACTTTCCTAAACTTTCCTGAGAGTCTCATTGAATATTACTTTTGAGTAGTTCTGCAGATTTATTGTAAATCTTTAATTGTAAATTGAGTCCTGTGGGCGTGGCTTGGTAGGTGGTATAGAAATATAATAAATAAATAAATAAATAAATAAATAAATAAATAAATAAATAAATAAATAGTATATTAGGGATCTTTTAAAATAATAATAATAATAATAATAATAATAATAATAATAATAATAATAATAATATCATTTGTACAAATTAATGATTATTATTGTTTTGTCTTGAAAAAGTTAAAGAAATCCCTCAAATGGGAAATCCTTGTCTATATATTGTCTATATATTCAGATTTTAGCACTGGAATGCAAATTCTAATGAAAACTGAATGCAACTATATTATGGATCGCCCATTATCCCCAGGCAAGGTAAGATTAGTAGTTTAGCATACCTAGAAGTTACAACTTTGGGAAAGACCATGTTTTGTCAAAGTCTTCAGTCAGAGTTTAGAAAACTTTACAACCAAATTTTACACACACCTCTCCCATCCCACCCAATTTGATGAGATGTTATTTTTCCAGTTAGACTTTGACACTTACTCCTCTCCAGAAAGGTTGCACTGAGGTCAAGGATGTTGATCGGAGCTTTTCTGGCTTCTTCAGTAGACTTTGGATGGTGGGACAAGTTCATCGCAAAAGCAGATTCCGGAATCCCCATTTCCCCATCTTTTCCCAGCCATGTGGATGACAAGTTCAGGAAATGCAGCTGAGGATAGCAGGAGAAGGCAAATGGCTGGATCTCTCTGATAGGGTTTCCCGCTAAAGACAACCACCTCAGATTGTCCAAAGAAGAAGTAATGCAGGAAGGTACAATCGAGAGCAAATTGAAGCTCAGATCTAAGAACTGTAGATGGCTGAGATTTCCAGTCCCCCATATCACCTTTTGGATCTGATTCTGTCTCAGGGAGAGGATTCGCAGTTTGGGCAGATAAGCCACATCTTGGCTATTTAATTCTGGCAAAAGATTGACATTCAAATCCAGATGTTCCAAAAGCTCCGGCAGACATTTAGGGAAGGAAGTGAGATTTTGATTCTGGATGTGCAAGATGATTGCTGTCTGGTTCCTCAGCTCCTCACAAGGCAAGCTAGTAAGGTTTATGTTTTCCTCCCAGACATTCTGCTGAATCAGCAGGAATGGGGCCTTCACATCTTCTGGTATGGCAGGACTTGCCTTCTCTGTGGGCCTAGCTGTGATGATTCTGACAAGCAAAACTACACAGGCCAGGAAGCTGGACATTGTGGTCCTTTAAAAGCACCTTGGGTATGAAGAGGGAGCTGTTTTCAAAGGATAGGCTAAGAGAGGAAAACAATATTGACTACTATCAAAAATTAATTCCCATAATAAAGTAAAGGTTCCCCTCACACATATGTGCTGGTTGTTTCTAACTCTAGGGTGCGGTGCTCATCTTCGTTTCAAAAAAGAGCCAGCGCTGTCCGAAGACGTCTCCGTGGTCATGTGGCCGGCATGACTAAATGCCAAGGGTGCACGGAACACTGTTACCTTCCCACAAAGGTGGTCCCTATTTTTCTACTTGCATTTTTTACGTGCTTTTGAACTGCTAGGTTGGCAGAAGCTGGGACAAGTAACGGGAGCTCACCCCCTTACGCGGCACTAGGGATTCTAAGCGCTGAACTGCTGACCTTTCAATCAACAAGCTCATCGTCTTAGCCACTGAGCCACCGCATCTCTAATTCCCATGGAAGTACCCACTATTTTACAATGTCCATTCATTAAAATATCATAAGAATCTGACCTTATAGCGGGAAGAGGATACAATGCAGCTGGATTGTGGCAAATAGATGTTCACCACTATTCAGATGGCTACTTTTTATTTATTAGAGTTTTATCCTGCCTTTATTACTTTTATAAATAGCTCAAGGTGATGAACACACACAATACTTCTCCCTCCTATTTTCCCCACAATAAACAACCATGCGAGAGTGAATTGAATCACCCTACATCTTCATACATACACCTACATGTATATGAGTGAACAAAAAGGAAATAAGGTGGGCTGAGGAAGAGTGACTGACCCAAAGTCAACCAGCTGGCTTTCATGCCTAAGACAGGACTAGAAGTCACGCACTCCCAATTTCTAGAAGAATAGAATAGAATAGAATAGAATAGAATAGAATAGAATAGAATAGAATAGAATAGTTGGAAGGGAGCTTGGAGGTCTTCTAGTCCAACCCCCTGTCCAGGCAGGAAACCCTATATCATTTCAGACATTACTATCACTACACCAAAGTGATTTGTCTACTATTTAACCAATGGTTTACTCTATTAACATTCATTCAGACTATAGACATGTACATCCACATATTATATGACTATCCATTTAGAAGTATGTTCTGGGGAATGCAACTGACTTTACTGTACTATTGAATAATTTAATCCTGTGCTAAACCTCCCTTGCAATTTCTCAAAAAATTCCCTTCTTTGGAAAAAATACTTTTTGTTTTGTGACTCTGTTCTTGGGGGCTCATAAACTTTCAAACTTCTTTTGCACGTTTGAGCAAACTTTATAATTGAAGGTGGTGGCATGGATTACAGCCTGTTTATTCTTTGTGTAACTGCACATCCTTTCTTCATTCCGAAACATCTGTGGCCTTCCACACATCATAAAGTAAAAGCAATACTCTCCTAATGCTTTTTTTGGGGGGGGGGGGCAGCAAACTGCTGAACAGAGGATTGTACAATGTGGCTGGCCAATCATACATACACCTCTTGAACAGCATATAAGAACCCCCCCCCAAGTCTCCATTTTTAAAGTAAATTCCCTTAAATTTAAAAAGGCAGGCAGCTTGTTCTGTGTTCACTGGAATAAATACATTTTAGATATTACAGCAATGTATTGACTGTTGTAAAGTCAACAACAGATTCTACCAGTACCAAAGGGATGATTGTTGTTCAACAACAATGCTGTGCAGCCTCCAGGTGAGCAGCCACAACTTTGCCACCCGCCCCAAAGATTGATTTTACAGCCCCTTTTGCAATGCTCCGAAAATTGGACTCGTCTCTACTGAAACAAACCTGGTGGGTAAAGCCTCAAGCCTCAACATCAACTATCTCACCAGACTTCTTGTTCAGAAAAAGCAAGCCTCAGTTCTCTTCTCCTGAGGGACACGAGGCCGAGAACAATGCCAGTAACATCCAGCCACTTGCCTGGAGCAAGAGAAGATGGGACACTTGCAGAACTCCCCTTTAACATGGAAGCGAGAAGATCTCACCTGTGCAGCCCTATTATCCGCTCCACCTGAGTCAATCTCCTCTTTCGTTTAGCCAGATTAGATCCTCGAACACACCACCTTCCAAATCAAGGGGAACTATCCTAGCTTCCTCTTTGCCATCCGTCTCTGTTTGAACTTACCTAGCAGCGCAGAGTGTCTTGGGGAGAGGTTCGGTGTCGGCCCCTCTCCCTGATTTCCCAGCACTTGCTTTTATGCATTCCAGTGACTCAGAGCTGACGCACCAGTAGCTGTGCTCGCTTGGTCCTGGCCCCTTCAGCCCCCCCCCCCACCCCCCCCCCCCCGTGTCTGTTCCTGGGTGTGAGAGATGTGTTGTTCTACATCTCCCCCGATGCCAGCCCGGGCCAGCCCACACCCTCTGTAGTCTCACCCACCCCCCAAACCGCCACCCCCATTCTTTGAGTGGAGATGAGCAGCTCCGTTTACCAGTTAGTTGCTTCCTGTCTGTCTGGCTAGCCGACCGGCTTGGGTGGGGAGAAAAAGAGTAGCATTCTGCAGCCCGGAGAGAAAAGAGATGGCCAGCAGAGGGAAGATGCTTGGTGTGGAACGTCTGCTGATAAACTTTCCTTCCCAAAGAAGCCAAATATCTTGTTTCAACTTCCCTTCAGCTGTTGTTCATAAAGGAACAAATTTGTATTATGGCTGAGAGTTTGCTAATAGCTGTATAGTCAACAAACCATGGCTAAAATGACCATTTTTATTTTATTAATTTCTATACTTTTCTCCTGCCTTTTTTCTTTTTTATTCTTTATTGGCTAAGTGTGATTGGACACACAAGGAATTTGGTCTCCGGTGCATAAGCTCTCAATGTACATTCAACAACAGAATGGTAGGTTATATATCATAGATCATAGCTACAATCATTAATCATAAGATACAACATTCTTTTTATAAATAACACAAGGCAGTGAAATATTTACTACTCCTTCCTTCTCCTACTTTCTCCACAACAGCAACCCTGTGAGGGTGGTTTGTGCTGAGAGTGTGTGATGGGCCCAAAGTCACCCAACCGGCTTTCATGCTTAAGGCAGCACTAGAACTCACTAGTCTTCTAGATTCTAATCTGGTGCCTTCACCACTAGATCAAACTGAAAAGAAGTGAATTGTGGGATCAATGTAGGAGTGTAGTTTGAAAATGTAAGCAGCAAGCTTTATACATAGTAAATGTGGATAAGTGCAATGAGGCCCATTATTTTATAATGAAAGGGAGAAAAAAAAAAGGAAGATGAAGGTGTCAGAGGGTGGTTAAAAAGATACTAGGCCCTTACTCTGCCAATTCCCCACCCCCACCTTTCAAAATTGCTCCTTTCTGTACAGCTTCTATATATTTAGCCTGCAGGCACCCCTGGAGCTACATGAGAACAATTTAAAAGGAATAATTTTGATTAGATTACTTTGTGGCATGCTGTTACTTGGCTCAATTAGTCTCAAATTACCTCACTTCCATTTAAAACAACTGAAACACAGGTAAAATTATTAATAATAATTGGGCTACCACTACAATTCTTTGAATAATGTTTAATTTCTCCATGCCGATATCATCCAGGGTGGGCATTATCAGTCCTCTCCCCTTTTTAGCTGTTTTTTTTATAAAGGGAAGTAATTTGGGGGGTTGGCTAATTGTTGTGCTGTGTTTTGTGTGTAGAGATCTAAAATTGAAGGAGGAAAGACAAAGGCGAGGGATAGCTGTTAATGGGGAAAACCAGCAGGCAGCTATGTTCAAAGGGAAACCTGCAGTTGAGGGGCAGGATTTATGAGCTCACAGAATAGCCTTTAGTAGCAGAGGAATGCTGACTTTGAGAACAGATGCTAACATCTCCTTATCTTTGTCCATGTCAGTCAGTATCAAGGAAGCTTTGAGACATACCAGCTTGCCCACACGTGTAAGGGAGATAGCTTAACGGAGCTGTCTGGAGACATTTGACTCTGTCCCCTTGCTGTAAACAGACCTGCTTGTACTTTTGGAACAACCTTTTAAAGGTAGAAGAATAAGCTGATGTTACCCAACACTGTTCAAATATTTTACCAGCTCTGAAAGCTTCTGACACTGGTTAATTCTTCTCCCAGCCATTGTTCAAGGAAGACAAAAGTCTAAAATTGCACCCTGAAGTAAGTAATTTTGAGAAACTTCAAGTTATAAGCATATGTGGACAAGACATCTGTTCATCTGGTCCTACATGAACGTTTAACCATGGTCCAAGATTTATCTGAGATTTAAAGGTGCAGCTAGAGCAGAGGTCTTCAAACTTGGCAGCTTTAAGACTTGTGGACCAACTCCCAGAATTCTGGGACACTGAAAATAAAGACATTATGTTTGGTGCTTTAGTTTTCAGCATACAAGTATTGCATTTATTTGTTTTTAATAAACAAAAGTGAGACGGGGCAGGAAATTTGGTAGCCAACAAGGGAATTGATAATTGACAGCTCATGGTGCTATATTGTGAGAATGTAAGTTTGTGTACCATGCATATTGGCACGCTGTTAATATGCAGACTCTAATAAGAATCAGTCATAGTAGCTCATGATAACACTACTAATTCCCAATTTTAAAATATTTCTCCTTCTACAAGTTTCAATAAATATAAAGGCACATAACATATAGATAAATTCAACCACAGTTGCAGCTGGAAAACTGTTCCCATTTTAGGCCAAGCCAAATCAAAAAAATGCTAAAGAATTCCTGGAAGGTTGACATTCAGACAAATCCACCATTATCAGGCTCATAGAGATAAACAAGATTTACACAACATTTAGATAACAAAAAAAAAACCCTAAAAAGGAAACAAAAAAGACCAGAATACATCCTTCCCAGCAGCCACACCCAGATAACACAAGGTAAACAATCTAGAGAAAACCATACAGTAGTCAAGGAGAAAATCACCCCCCCCCCATTATTGCAGGGCAACCTATTGTATATAAACGTGGAGCAAAATCCCACATTCCCTAGCACTGATAACTTTATATAGTTGGGTAATGAAATATCGGTAAGTAAGCAATCAAGTTCAGAGAGCACCAAGGACTTCATAGTTAAATCCTGAGCTACATACATTCTCCTCTGTTGTTTGATAAAACATATCAAACAAAAACATATATTCATCTCATCACTCATCCTTCTGTTTTAATGCTCCAAAGATAGGAATCCTCATTTTTGTTTCCTGGTGCTGGTACATTTTGAAATGTTAGAAAATGTGGGGACGCACAGCAGCCTCCAATGGAGGTCACAATGTCACAAGCAATGTTGTGAAACAAACCATCTCTCTTTCCTATGCGTAGTGTGACATCACATGTACACATTAAAGGGGCAGAGCTTGCAATGCAATGCTGCAACGCTGCTTCAATCACGCTAAAGAAAGGAATGTGAGCTTGTAAACACACTCATAAAATGGCTATTGTGTGTGGTTTGCATATGCATGCAGTAGCAGCCATGGAAACACAATCAGCATCTGCTTCACCAGGCCAGCTGGCAGGGATGATGCTGGCCATAGTTTCCTAGCATTTCTCGGAAGATGTTCCCTGTTCTCCTGCCCCTCTTTTATTTGTGTTTTTTTCCCCCTGGGTCTGCCTCAAAAGCACTGGCATGAAGTTACTCCCCCGTTTCATTTTCTAAAAATGACTCTGACCCCTTGATTTGGAAATAAAGCCAATACTGGAAGCTGGCATTTTTCTTTGCAGGATGCCAACTTCTCTTGAAAAAATTTAAAAAGTTGGATAGATCAGAAAATCTGGCAGACACACATTAAAAAAGTGAAGTGCAAAGCCAGGTTTTGTGGCAAGAAAATGGAATGAGTTACTTGTGTCCCTTCCTGTACTTTTCAAAAGATTGCTCAAAATGCAGAGAAATATACTCACTCACCTCAAACAATAAGAGGTAAGACATGACCGATTTCTACATGTTGTTTATGTAGAAAATTAAAATGCAAATTGGTTAATGAGGGAGTTTTAATAAAAGGTATCCAGATGATAAAGGAATGAGGCATATGCCAGTTCTATTTAAAGGCTTCCTCGGGGCTGAGAGAAAAGCATGAATTGTTTCAGATTATGCCTATCTCTTTTATTACAGTGTTAATTCACATAGAACTGTGCCCAAAATAGCTTGCAATAAGGAAAATGAGAAGATACTTATTTCTCTGGGAGCGTCCATTTGGGAGTTGCTACTGTATAATCCCAACAGATTGGGCAACCAGGTAGAGCAAGGCTAAATTGTAGGCTGAGCCATTAATGAAATAGTTTGCATATGACTGTATTTTGGTGCAATCGATGGTCCTAAAAAGTGCTTCGGTATTGGAAGACACTCTGAATTATAAAGTAGCCATCCCCGGTTTAGCATACTTATATAAATGGAGGGGAAGTTAAACATGGCTTAATGTGTCTTTTGAACACAGTCTTTGTTTGAAGTTAATAGTTAAGTTGGGAGGGAGTATATAATATCAAAATGGACAGGTGAGTGAGTGGTTGACTTAAAAAAGGTAAAGGTAAAGATACCCCTTGCATGTATGTGCTAGTCGTTTCTGACTCTAGGGGGTGGTGCTCATCTTTGTTTCAAAGCCGAAGAGCCAGCGCTGTCTGAAGACATCTCCATGGTCATGTGGCCGGTATGACTAAATGCCAAAGGTGCACAGAACACTGTTACCTTCCCACCAAAGGTGGTCCCTATTTTTCTACTTACATTTTTTACGTGCTTTGGAACTGCTAGGTTGGCAGATGCTGGGAGTAACAAGTAACGGGAGCTCACCATGTTACGCGACACTAGGGATTCGAACCGCTGAACTGCCAACCTTTCAATTGACAAGCTCAGTGTCTTAGCCACTGAGCCACCACATCCTTTGAGTGGTTGACTACAAACTGTCAAAAAAGAGGTGGTGCAACAATTAAGCAAGACATAACAGGGTTCACACTACTGAAGAATAAGATGACTTTGGTTTGCTCACCTGGAGAGGATGTCTTGGAATTCCACATAGTAAAAAGCATATACAAAAAGAGGAGAAGGTCAAAGAACATGAGGCAGAAGAAGATGGAGAGACAACATCAAAGACATGCTACAACAGCATCAAATAGCATTGGTTGAGGGGCCAGAAGAGCTAGAAACAGAACTATATATCTTCCTCGCCCCCTGAACTGTAAAAGAGGAAGTAAAGAAGAAGACATTTATATCTGCTTTAAAAAACTGTGTTATGTGTTCTTGAGATTCTTCATACATTTACATAAAAGCAGGTTTTAAGATGTTGCAGGGGTAATAAGCGTATCAAGCTTCAGTCTCCAATGCTTTTTTTATGTTTGGCTGAAGGATCTTCTTTATCATGCAGAGAACATTCTCCAAATCACCACTGGTCTGTTCCCTAGCTAATGCTGCCATGAGGAGCCACAGTGGCTCAGTGGTTAGAGTGCACTACTGCAGACTACTTCTACTGCCTGCCGGCTGCCTGCAATTTGGCAGTTCAAATCTTACCAGGCTCAAGGTTGACTCAGCCTTCCATTCTTCCGAGGTTGGTAAAATGAGGACCCAAATTGTTGGGGGCAATAGGCTGACTCAGTAAACCGCTTAGAGAGGGGCTGTAAAGCACTGTAAAGCGGTATATAAGTCTAGGTGCTATTGTTATTTCTATGAGCCAAGATCCCCCATTAAGCAGCATAAGGAACACCTCCAATGGCGGCTGTTAAGACCTGTGCTCTTTCCATCTCACACAGCCAAAGACAGTCTTAAACAGTACAATAGATACAAGGAAGTGTCAGAAATATATTGCCTTGCAGATCTCTTCTATTTATGAAACCCCCTCCCGAACATACAGGCGTCAGACATCCATCTTTCCCTCGTGTAGCAAATCATTGTGGTCTGGAATGTTGCAGCTGAAAGCCGAATTCTTTATTGACACAGGAAGATAAACAGAACCCAGCAGCCCGTCCCAAGAGGAGATGGTACCCTGCTTCAGAGACGAATTCCTCTCCCCTCCTCCCCCCCCATCAGCAAACACCAAGGGTCCTTCTCACCCTCAAGACTTACACAAGGTGAAATCTGGAGTTGGAGAGGCATTCCCGGGAAGCCCAAGGGATTAGTGAAGTTTCAAATTAGCTGAACGACAAATTGTGAAACTTCAATTAGCTGAAAATATCCAACGTTTCTTTTTTTTTTGAATCCAAGTTAAAGTTTCACACAGGCCAAGAATCTGAGTACTCCATGGGATGTTTTGAAGCCCTTTTTAACCAGGCTTGAAATGAAAGGAATATCCAACATGTAAAATCTCTCAGAATTCACCGTCAGAAAAAGAGGCAATTTTTTTCCTCCCCTCACTCACAGGTATTCTTATACATCAGGACCACAGTTTCATAGTGCCCTCCTTTGCCCTCCTATTCTCTTATGGCTTTTCTTTCTTCTTCTTCCTGTCTGTTTAGCTCAGGGACAGGAGATTTGTTTCAGTTTGAATGGAGGGCAGAGACAACTGTTTGAAATAAACAGAAGCATATGGCTGTAGGATCACCCATTTATTTAGGAAATTTATACACTACCTTAATCCAACTGTATTCTAAGCAGCCTACTGTGTACATTCTAATAATGCATTCTAATACATATTATTATATATTATATGTAGAAAGTAATATATACTAATAACAGTAGCACAATACTATAAATATAGACAAAATATAACTGCAAGAAAACCCTAAACGTATATGGTTCCAGATGGAGAAGGCTCCATAATCTGTATTTTATCTGGAATTATTATTATATTTTTATCCTGCCTCTAATATATGGAATGGAAGCCTGGTGATAATGGTTCTAAAACAAGAAACCAAGAAAATAAAAAAGAAGCTATTAAAAAAGATCCAAGTTTATACACTTCTGGTTTGTAGACTTTTGTTTGTATAAATTCAAACGGCGTAACTTCTGTGACAGTTTCATTTGTTTTGTGGGAATGTAGCAGTAGAGTACCTCTTTGGATTTCAATTATCTTACTATCCCAAATAGCTCTCTGGAGATAAAAGGACAAAACTATATGCTTACTAAGTAAAATCCTGAAGCTGACAATCTCAAAAAAAATGATGGGAATATTAACAGAAGTGGAAAAGATTCCAGATCGTAATTGATACAGCAAGTTACCTTATAAATCCTCAGTATCAAATCCCCTGTCCCTCAGTTTACAATTTTATCAACTTTATCGCTAGTAATTGAAATAAAATGCCCAAACTATTGAAACAGTTTAAAAACATTTTAGAATTTATTTTAAAGGATTGCAGCTAAAACATAGCAAAACCTTAATAAAGCTAATTTTAATCATTATTCTACAAAATCTGCAAAATTCAGAAACTGCTGAAGGATTTTATAGTAAAAGAAAATGATAATTGAAAAAGGACAAAAATATGATATACAGTAGGAACAAAACAAAAGCCACTTTGATTAAAATGAACTGGATTCTCTTTGCAGCAGATGATACATTTAGAATTTTGAAAAAGTCTCCCTGCAAAATATTTACAAAATGGCTGCTATAGTGTTCAAAGCCAGTCATAAGAAATCCAATTTACAGCAAGGCAAACTTATGATGCTGAAAATAAGCAAATTGATTTTTCATTCTACACATGTTTACACTCACTCACCTCTCCCATAAGCTTTGCTGGCTGAGGAATTCTGATAGTTGAAGTCCACAAGTCTTAAAGTTGCCAAGTTTGGAGACCCCTGGTCTAAGACAATCTATTAACACCAATGAAAGTCTACAACACACTGTGAAACAAGTTGGCTCAAGAATTCCTGTAACTGTAAGAATAAGCTTCCAAAGACATTCTATTTCCACAAGCTCTTTTGAAAGTAGGACATGCTTTGAGTTTGGGTTAGTTTTTCTTCTCCGGTGCTCCAGATTAGTGCCAAGGATAAACATTATTTCCAAGAATATATTTCCCATAAGTACATTATTTGTGTTGCATGAAGACTGGTTGGGCAGCAGGCAGCTCTCTTTAGAACAATGAATTTCACTGACTGGAAGGCTATAGAGGACAGTGATTCAGTGTTGACAGGAGTGCTGTGCAAAAGGGAGCAGTAAGCGGCAACTGGACTGCGCTCCAAAGTTTGACAGATTGGCACGCTAGAATGTTTTCATTTTTAAAAAAGAAGTACCTTTTACTTCAGAAAATTCTTAAAATAAATATAAAATTGAAACCAGAAGCTTTCCTTTTGAGTTTCATGGACAAAAAAATAAAGCTAGAATATTTTCAGAAGAGACTTCCATTATCCAATTAGTTGCCTTATTCATGGAATTTTGTGAAGGCTCCATCTAACAATCTTCCATTTATAATTCTGTCTCTTTCCACCATCACGCCACACCCCCCAATGGTCATGGAAGAGAAGATTGATTTTTGATCAGAACGTGAAAAGCTCTCCATCTTGATGCCAAAGGCTGATGCTTTGCTTCGCAATATCCCTGCTTCCTCTTTATCAATTTTTATTAACGGAATCAGGCAGGAGGTACTAAGGAGCCATCTAAGCGAGCACCATCACCTCTGGCCCTTCTATTCAGTCCAGAAAAAGCTTCTGGTTTCCTTTCATTCCCTTCCACCAGTTAATTTATGGAACAAGTCTTCATCCAACGTCTCATTCTGGTCTTTGGAACGGGTTGACAGGAAAATATAGCCGCCAATGTATTCATGAACCACTTTGCAATTTGCACTCAGGCAAGCAAATGCAATAGATACATTCTGATCGAACTCAATGGCAACCTGAAGGGGAAAGACAATTGAAATACCAAAAGTACTTACTGCTCTATATTCATTAGTGTAAAAAGAATCACGTGGGGCACAAACACCATAGGGTTAAATTTGATATATCCCAATACAGTGTTTCTCAACCTCAGAAACTTTAAGATGTGTGGACCTGAACTTCCAGCATTCCCCTAACCAGCATTCTGGGAGTTGTTCCACATGTCTTTAATGTTGCTGAGGTCGAGAAATGGCTAATTGTTCACTTTCTAAAATATTGTTTTCCAGGGAAAAGCTTTCCTTGTTCATTTTCCACCAAGCATCAGAAGTAGCAGAAAGGAGAAGCTGTTTAATTCTATTCCCTGTTGGGCCTGCTGACTTAAAACCTCCCTCCTTCAATCTTTCTATACTTTCCAGGAAAGACTCTTGTTTTTTCCCCCTCCCTGCAGGGAGAAAAATCAGCTTTGAAAGGATAATTTTGAATGGACTCATGACTCAGTTTCCTGGGATTTATCATGTACCTGCTGTAACCAGCATCATCATAGACCTTTTAAAATGTATGTTTCTGTGGTGATTTCCCCCTTTTTCGACATTGGCAACTTTTCCTGCAATATTGCAACTCAATAGATAAAAATCAAACCTTGGGGGGTCATTTGTATGCCTTTTCTCTATAATGCTTAGTTTCATCCTAATTCGAAACATAAACTTTATTCTGAAACTTTATCCCAAATGCAGAAATACATTTTGGTTGATAACAATGATGAGAAATCATTTAGGCCAGGGGTGTCAAACTCAAGGCCCGTGGGCCGAATTCAGACCGTGAGGAGGTTAGATCTGGCCCACGAGGCTGGCCTGGAAATGGCGAGGGACTGCCCCCTGCTGCCTCAGCCTGGCCCAGCTGGGTGCTCCCTCTGCGCATGTGCAGCTCATTCGCCTTGTCATGCCTTGCCCCAGCCTGGTCCTGCCTGACATTGCCTGGTCTCGCCTCACTTCATCTCGAGGTGGCAGTGACAGCAGCAGAAGCCTCGAGGAGGAGGTAAGCGTGGCTGGGTGCCCCCTCAGAGAAGCGGGGCTGGGAAGGGCTTGGGAAGTGGCAAGCAAAGGCTGCTTGATCGCGTGTGTTTCTGATGCCTGAGGGGGGTCTTGCAGAGCATTGGTGCTTGCGCGCAGCTGGGGAGGGTACCTGGGAGGTCGAACAGTGCTGGGGCGCGGTGGGAGGGGCAGCCAAACTGCATGAACTGCAATGGGGAGGGGGAGTGAAAATAGGAAATGGGCAGGCAGCAGTGGGCGGGGGCTTCACATTTTGACCTCTCTCTTGCTTCTGTGCCTGGACTCCAGCCTAAAACCGAAAAGGCAGTTTGGCTGCTCCCCCACTGCTCCCCAGCACCATTCAACTCCCCCCCAGCACCCTCCCCAGCTGCGCTGAAGCACTGATGCTCTTCTGTCCCCCCAGGCTTTGCACTCACCCTGGATCATCCCTCCCAGCCTTGTCTGGCCCATCGCAAGTGCCCCTTGACGTGAGTGATATTGAGTTGGTCACGTCCACCCAGCCACGCCCACCTGGTCTTTGAGGGTGACCATAATGCTGATCCAGCCCTCAATGAAATTGAGTTTGACACCCCTGATTTAGGTCATATGGGGAACCACTGAGGCCTATTACATATATTAATGGAGATGCTAATTCATAGCATATTACTATTCATAAGCAGTCACATATGGGGCTGGGTGATGGCATTTGATTTAGCTTGTTGCCTAGAATTTACCCCTCTGGAAGGCAGGCATAGAAAAAGATACCTCAAAAGAGACTTTCTTTTACAGTTGCTTAACTCTTCAGATGATCCAAAGGATACGCTTGTCCATTTGGATAGTCCTTGGTTTATAACCACAATTGGACCAGAATTTCCACTGCTAAGCAAGGCAATTATTGAGTTTTTGTGATTTTGTGACCATTTTTTTTGCCACAGTCGTTAAGTGAATCACTACAGTTGTTAAGCAAACCATGCAGTCATTTAGCAAATCCAGTTTCTCCCATTGACTTTGCTTATTGGCTGGAAAGGTGGCAAATGGCAATCACATGAACCCACATGTCCCAGTTGCCAAGCACCTGTGGTAGGTGTGACTTGATGGCAACAACAAATGCTAAAGTAAGGTTGTCTTTAGAGAAGAGGCCTGAGGGAAAATTCTTCTTGAAAATCAGATAAGAAGCATTTTCTGTCAGCAGAGCCCCTTCTCAACCAATAAAACAGCTTGAAAAGGTTGTGTTCAAGGGAAGGAGAATATATGTTTCCACCCATCCCATTTTCTAGATACAACTTGTTCTCTTCTCTGCACCAGAGAACTTTTCTTCCACTACCCTTAAACAAAATATTTTGCAATTTTTCAGTCAACTATTTCTCAGGTGAAGAAATTTTAATCAAGTATCAACAGATCAGAAATGGTTGCCATCTGGGAAACATTTCATATTTACCTGCCGTATCTCCCAGTTCACGTTCCATTGTTTCATATTTGAATACCTCCAGGTTGTAATTGGGTCACCAGTAGCTGTGTCTATCCTAATCAGCCTGTTATAAGAAATCCCCAAAAGATCATCCTTCTTGCTTCCTTTAAATCTAAGGGAAAGAAGAGAAAGAAAAAAATCCAACCAATTGCTTTCTGTTTCTCCAAGTAATTATTCCCATATGCATTAGAATAGAATAGAATAGAATAGAATAGAATAGAATAGAATAGAATAGAATCTGGAAGGGACCTTGGAGGTCTTCTAGTCCAGCCCCCTGCTCAAGCTGGAGAAACTATAACATTTCAGATAAGTGACTTCTTAAAAACCTCCAGTGAGCATCTAAATTCAAATCGGAAAAACTTCCCCATGAGCACTAGTGGAAAGGACTGACTATAGTGCCATCCCAGTGGAAGCTACTGCTGAGATGGAAGAAGGGAGGAAGCAGGGAAGGGTGCAGTCCTGTCAATCATCAGTTGCTCCAGTGCAAGATGGTGAACGGCAAGTTATGAGGTGCAGCAGAAGGAACTTCTTTCCTATCCTTCTCTTCCTTTACAGGGATACTATAGAAACTTATTGTTCCTTTCATTACAAATAAGGAGCAACCAATACAACCAATAAGGAGCAAATATGGCTTGAAGCAAATAGAATTTTTAAGAGAATCCAAGCATTTATTGCTGTCTTCACATCATACACTGTGCTTCCCTCTACTGGCCAAATATAGAACTACTAAACATACTTGGGAAAATAACTATCTGAGCAGATAATTTTCAGAATGGCTTTTTTTTAAAAAAAAGTTAATCCAGATGATATTACATTATGCTTGTTAACCCTGAAGGGCCAGATTGAGGCAGGCCATCCTGAAGAAAATCTATTCATGTGGTTATTAAGAGCTGTCACTGAAGCCAGAAAAAGGGTTACAGGTAGTCCTTGGTTTGGGACCATCTGTTTAGCAACCATTCACGGTAATGAAGGTGCTGAAAAAGTTGGACTTATAACTGGTTCTTAGAGGTCCAGTTGTTGCAGTATCCCTATGGTCATGTGATCATGACTGACATGAAGACGCCACTATATTCTGCCGCCACCACCACCACCACCAATGGATATTCCTCCTCATTTTTCTCCCTGGCATATCCACCTTCTTCCTCTTCTCAGCATTATCTCCCTTCTGCTTCTCTGGGCCTTCCAACGTTGGTTGGCCTTAAGGCCCACAGAGAGGAGTTCTGTCAGTTGGGTTCAGAGGTAGCGGTGAGGGATGGGGGTGATGGTAAGGGCAAACCCATTTCCAACAGAGGCCCTATGGGGTTTGAGGATGGCCAGTGTTGGTGAGCCCCATGGAAGAAAGGCGAGGCAAAAGTGAGGAGAAGGAAGAAGACAACAATGGTGCTGAGGAGGACAGAGAGGAATGTCCAGTGGGAATGATGGCATCTGATAGATGGTGGCAGTGGAATACAGAGGGTTCTTCATTTCAACCATGCTGTGCAGAGTGGCCAAAAGGATAGGGGGAGATAAGTGTGGGAGGAGCTAGTTGAAATGGAGATAGTTCATGAAGGGCAGGGGAAACAAGTCAGCCTCTTCTGGCTCAGTGATCTCCTGAAAATATCCTTCGCTTTAAAAGGATCGAGGCTCATGTCTGGGAGGGACCAAGCCACGGATGGCTTGAATCTTTTGGGAGGCAGGAGACTTGATTGCCAGCCGGCTTCCAAGAAAAAAAAATCAATGGGGAATTCATCCAGAAGTCACAAGTTATGGTCATGTAAGGTCCTTGTTTAATGACTGCCTGCTCCTCACTAACAACTGCATCTGGGACTGCTGGAATTGCCATTGCTAAACAGTGCAGTCACATGATGTTTGATTTAATGATGGTTTTGCTTAGTTAGAAATTCCGGCCTCAATTACAGTCATAACTTGAGGATTACTGTACCTGTACGTAGAACAGTGATTTTAAAAAGGCTTCCAAACCTAAAATGTATTCCACCCCCCCCCAAAAAAGGCCATTTCTGTAGTCAAAACGAAAGTAGTTAAAAGGGTTCTAAGCAGTACTCTTCTATAAAAATTTAGTGGCAGAGGAACGCCAGAATTACCTTACAACATAATAGGATAAGCCGAATTCTGGAAGTGATTGCCATGCCTGGATAAACCTCAGTTTGGCTTCCATAAGAGGCAGGTGAATGATGTTGTGATGTGCTTCTAGAATGCGAGCAGCTAACTAGGGAAACGTGGAAAGGAAAGCACAGGTTTAACTGAAGTAGAAATGAACAAGCAGCATTCAAATAGTCAAAAAGCTTGGACCACATAACTTTTGCTACTTTACTACTCTGCTGTTTTAAGGAGTCAAACCAAATACCGAGTACAGAACACAATGGGGGAACTCTGAGGATGTCAATACAGGATGTGAAATTCCTAGCAACTCCATCAGCATGGACACCCTTTATCTTGGCTCTTCCTCTCCTCCTTTCTTTGCACAGGTGAGTGGAAATGATATTCTAGCTACAACAGCACCTCTGCCACTTGGGTGACAAGCAGCTGTGCCAATTTTCCCATCACTTTCTCCTCTTCCTAGCAGAAATTCAAGAATGGCATCCAGTATTTAAGAGCAGGGGTCCCCAACCCTCAGTCTGTGGACTGGCACCGGTCCGCGGCATGCCAGAAACCCGGTCGTGCAAACAAACATGCAGGTAACAAACGAAACCACACCCCTTCCAGTCCGTGGAAAAACCTCTCTCCATGGAACAGGTATCCCTGGTGCCCAAAAGGTTGGGGGGTCACTGTTGATTTAAGGGCTGCATTGTAATATGTATGGTTGGCCATAAACCTAGTTGGTAGTAAGAGGTAATATATATACATACCGGTATTTTTTGTATACAATAGTAATTTCGCATTCATTCATTCATTCATTCATTCATTCATTCATTCATTCATTCATATCCCGTCTTTATTTTCACAAACAACTCAAGGCAGTGAACATATCCAACCGACCTTTCTCCTCCTATTTTCCTCACGATAACAATCCTATTACCTAAGGTGGGAGAATGACAGGCCCAAGGTCACCCAGCTGGCTTTTATGGCTAAGGTGGGACTTTAATTCACTGTGTGTTGCTTTCTAGACTTGTGCCTTAACCACTAGACTAAACTACCTATAGATTAATTAATAACAGAGTTTAATTGTGGTTATCACATTCATCAAATGGTTTGAACAATTTGTTTTCTTTTAGCTTCTTGGACTGCTTTGTGCACTTCTGCTCAGTAAACCTTTTTTGCTCCAGTACACTTAGCGGGATTTGCAACTGCAAACATGCAAGATATGACTATTGATGAATTCTGTAAATTGCTGTTCTACTGCCATTTTTTGGGGGGAGATTCTGAATTGGGAGTTTCTGGGGTAAATTACAGGATTATTTATTTCCTCAGCTCCTGCTAGCCAGAATCTTTTTTGGTTGAAAAGGCAGAAGATGAGAACTTCTGAAAATGGAAGAGTTTAATGTATCTCTTCTTCCTTTATTATCCTACTGCAGATGCAAAAACACAGAAGAACAATTACACAGAATCAATACACTGAGATCAGGGAAAAGCAATTTTGAGCAGAATTCCTATCTTCTAAATTCAGGTCCAATATTCTATTTATAGGTTCATGCTGTCTCTTCAGATTTTACTTGTAGATTTTGCTGTAAGAAACATACTCCTTGAAATTCACCTTTTGATGTATTAAACAAGAATCCTCTACCAATTAGACATGAGTCAGTTTGAGTATGTCCCCTGCAATTGGCCCAAGATCCAGCTCTTCCTGTATTATCTTTGGCTCCCCATTTACCTGCTTAGATTTATATTTCTTAGCGTATCGTGGTGAGATGAAGCATTCCGGTTTCACGTCCATGCTTTCTACATCCGAAACTTCTTGGGGTGCAGCTGTTCTGCTTTTCATTTTCAGGAGCGATAGGATGTTATGCACCTCAGATTGGTAAGAACTGTCTGCCATTGTTTTTCCTTTGGAAGCCAATGCACAAGCAGCCATCCATCTGGCATACTGCTCTTCCTGCAACAAACAGTCCAATGAGAGATATTAAGGGGGGAAAAAAAATCTGGCACCAATTTCTACTCACATTGCCTAGCTGCAATAATTTGAAATGCTTTGGTTAACTTCAACACAGGCTTCTGTTCAAAAAGCATCCCAGAATTCTGGGAGTTGAAGTCCACAAGTCTTAAAGTTGCCAAGGTTGGAGACCCCTGCCATAGACAATAACACTTCATCAGCCTAATTTGTTTATTAAACTTCTATCCCATCTCTTCTTCAGAAGTTCAAAGGGGAAGCTTTCTCATCTTTTTAATATATTTTTCCACTTCTCACCATTTTCCTTTATTATCTTTATATTATCTATATAAAATATGTGTATAGAAAATATTGAATTGTTTTTTTCCTCCTCACTGACGTACCAAAACTCTTAGATTTCCTTTGTCCTTTAATTTCCCTCCACCCCCACCAGTCCATTTTGGGAGAGCCTGAGGAAATCCCAGGGCTGTAGGCCACACAAAATATAGCCCAAACAAGGCAATGGCAAACCTACACTATTGGCTGAGAAAGCCTTATTGTCCTGTCAGTGGAACTGCCAGACGTTAATGACTTTAGGGAGGGAAGCTGAGTTTCACAAGTTTTTCAGCCAGGAAGGTCATATGAGGCAAAGGACAAATGCCGACAAATTACAGAATTGTTTGGCAAAGTAGCTCTTGACACAGACTTTTAGACAAAAATCCCCTCTCAAGAATGGAGGCAAGTAGGGGGATATATATGCAAGACAACCTGGGGTTTGGTTCATTGTTTTTTTCTTTCTTTCTATACAAGCTTTGTTTTATTTCCGTGCACAAATAGCTGGGAATTTTTATGCACTGTGTGGGTTTGCAATGCACTGAAATGCCAGCCAAGCACCTGGACCTTAATAAGGTTTCCCAAGGGGCAATGCAATGCACAAAAAGCACATTAATACCCCTCCTCTGTGCACACAATAGGTTCATTCAGCTGTTTTGTTACTCACGTCATTACACCTCAAATGTATTTCATTCATTCCATCGGCAACTGGGATGAGTAATTTAATCCCATATTTTTTCCCGGACACACTTACATCTGGGACAATTTCACATCCTGAACAACAAAACAGAAGAGAATTTACATGTAAGCTTACGTTTCATCTTCATTTAAGAACAATACATGAGAAAGGCAGGGAGAACAAATAGCATATAAAAAAAAGTAATAAGGACAATTTTACAAAGGTAAATGATTAATTATTACTTATCACTAAGGCAGAGGTCCCCAACCCCCAGTCTGGTAGCGATCCGTGCACCGTTGGGAGCAGCAGGTGAGCACGTGAAACTCCATTTGTGCATGCAAAACTATCCCCTCCCCCCCCGCACCCTGCTGCTGGCAAGATTGGGGACCATTGCAATTAAGAGGATAGATGTAAGCTTGCAGACCAAAGTAATTTTATTCTGGTGTGCATTCAGCCTTAGCTGATATTCTTTACTTTCAAGGGGGACCGTGATGCTTATTAATTGTCATCTGATCAGTAATACATCTTCATCTGATGTGTTTAAAATGATACAGGACTGGTACTGGAACGACCTTTCCCCAAACAAACATAAGTGACATTGAAGCGTGTCATAATCGGATGATCAAGATGGTATTTGCAATACACACAGAGCATTTGCACCAGTGGGATTTCATCATTGCTTCCCATTGATCACTAATGTTGGCATAGTTTGAGAACTCAGGGCAGCAAAAGCCTGGCACAATTTCTGTGAAGCTATGTAATATAATTTTTGTGGCCAGAAGTGTAAATCACAGAGGTATGTGGCTTTCATGGCTTTCAGGAAGGAGCCTGAGTGGCGTGGAAGGAGCCTGAGTGGCGTAGGAGGCTAATGCCTCCTACTAAGGCAGCATTTAACATCCAGCTGCCTGCAATTACTGCGAGTTCAATTCTCACCAGGCTCAAGGTCGACTCAGCCTTCCATCCTTTCTAAGGTGGGTAAAATGAGGACCCGGTTTGTGGGGGCAATAAGCTGACTTTGTATAAAATATACAAAAGTATGAAGGCTATTACTTAACGCATTGTAAGCCGCCCTGAGTCTCCGGAGAAGGGCGGCATATAAAAATAAATAAATAAATAAAATAAATAAATAAAAATAAATGTGTTCCTCATCTTCACTCATGGCAGTGGTATCCGCACTTCGGCACATATTATGTGGGCAACAATGTTATAATGATTACCATCCTTTGGATATTTGGCAGTAAATGAGACCAAAACACTCCTGACTGTACAAAAATAGGATACGGTAAATACTGTATAAAGACAGATTAATATGTGTCTATGCGTGTGCACACACGTGCATGTCCGTGTGTACTCAGACATATAAACAAAGAACAAAAATGCTTATTGTGCTAGGAGATCTCTGTAGATGCAACCGCACTTCATAAGATGCTGTATGAAAATATCAGCTTCTACCTCTTAGGTTAAGCTTCTCGATAGGTTCTCCATGTTCAGCTTCTTTGTTTTTAAAGTAAGACACGGATGTGTCTTTAAAGACAAACCAATATTGCTTGAAGGCTTTCAGCACCAGCTTTTTGGATCTGCAAATGAAGAATTGCTTCATCAAGTCTCTGTTCTAATGAGAATATTTGTCAACCCTTTTGGCAAAGTTTTATTTCCCATATATTATGAAAGTCCATGTGGTTGTCTCATTCAGAAGTACCGTATTTTTCGTAGTATAAGACACACTTTTTTCCCCTCCTAAAAGAGGCTGAAAATTTGGGTGTGTCTTATACTCCCAATGTAACCCCGCACGATGCCCAAAATGGCTACCCGGAACAGCTACTGCCTTCTCTTACCCCTTTAGCGCTTTCTCTGCTTTAGTTACTGGAGCTCCCTCTGAGGATCAGCTGTGCTTTTGAAGCTGTTTTTCAGCCCCAATGGGAGCGAAGCGATCTTCTGTGCTTTGCCTGCTTTTCTAATTGCTGCTCCCTCCGACAATCAGCTGTCCTTTTAGAAGCACAGCCCCAACCAGCCCCAACCTCAAAAGTTCCCTATGATTATCATTAAGTGTTGTTCCTTATGATTCTTGACGAATGTATCTTTTCTTTTATGTACACCGAGAGCGTATGCACCAAGACAAATTCCTTGTGTGTCCAATCACACTTGGCCAATAAAGAATTCCATTCCATTCCATTCCATTCCATTCCATTCCATTCCATTCCATTCCATTCCATTCCATTCCATTCAAAACCAGCGAGCGAACTAATGTGCTGGCACTAGCCACATGAATACCTGGTAAGGCAGAATCCCCCCCCCCATTTTCCTCCCCAAAAACTAAGGTGCGTCTTATACTCTGAAAAATATGCTATGTGTTCCTCAGTTTTAGCTGCTTTATCAGAGAGAAGCAAATTACAGGGAGCTAGTAGAAACTACAGTGGCACCCCCCCAAAAAAACCCCCCAAAACATTGAGCTTACTTCTCAGTACAGGTAAAAGTATAGAAATTGTGGAGCTTGTACAGGTAGTCCTCGATTTACAACCACAACTGAGTCCAAAATTGTTGTTGCTAAGGGAAACATTTGTTAAGTGAATTTTGCCCCATTTTACGACCTTTCTTGCCACAGTTGTGAAGTGAATCACTGCAGTTGTTAAATTAGTAACACGGTTGTTAAGTGAACCTGGCTTTCCCATTGACTTTGCTTGTCAGAAGATTGCAAAAGCTGATCACATGATCCCGGGACCCTGCAATTGTCATAAATGTAAGACAGTTCCCCAGCATCTGGATTTTGATCACATGACCATGGCGATACTACAAGGGTCGTAAGTGTGAAAAGCGGTCATAAATCACTTTTTTCAGTGCCGTTGTAACTTCAAACGGTTACTAAGTGAACTGCTGTTTAAGTCGAGAACTACCTGTATTGTAATATCGTAATGTGCATTTTATCACCTGCCCCCTCTTCTATTTCCACAAAACACTGAATTGTAAAATATCTTGGTTATTCATTTTACGTCTTCATGTACAAAAACTGCTTTCCTGAAAGATTTCAAGTAAGTCATTCAGTTCTTTATGAAGACACAAATTCGCTCGTTTTTCATGCAGTGGTATTTTAATGGGTTTAATCATTGAGTTTTATTGTGATGATGTTATTTTAATCTTGTGAACCGCCCTGGGAGTGGTTCTTATATGAAAGATGACTTATGGAGACATATTAAATCAATTTCCAATTCAACTGAAACGATCCTGATACAATATCATCTCGAATTTTGAGATTTGGGATATTGATTGCTTTCAAAATTCAGTGTAATGAAACACAACAAAATATGCTAAAGTAAACAACATTGTTCAATATATATGGGTGGTTAGCATTGCTCCTTTTCCTTACCTAAATAGCTTGAGGTTATCGGCAAGCTTTGGAATGTCTGTGATATCCTCCTATGGAGAACCAAGAAATATGCTAGTAACAAGGCATAGCTAGATACTTTCAATTGCATGTCAATGATTGGCCCACATTATGGTTTCATAGTTATTTTTATTTATTTATTTTATTTGTTTAAATTTCTATACCGCCCTTCTCCAATGTAGGACTCAGGGCGGTGAACAGCCAAAGTAAAAACAAGACATACATACAAAACATACAAAATCTAAAAACTGTTTAAAATAATTAAATAATTTTGGCCGTAATTAAAACATTCCAATTTAAAATCCGTTTAAAATTTGACTCAAGCCAGCCCAGCTAGTTGAAATAAATGGGTTTTTAGGGCCCGACGAAAAATCCGGAGGTCTGTTATTGTACGTAGCTCTGGGGGGAGGTTGTTCCAGAGGGCGGGCGCCGCCACAGAGAAGGCTCTCCCCCTGGGGGTCGCCAGCCGACATTGTCTGGCGGACGGCACCCTGAGGAGGCCCACTCTGTGGGAGCGTACTGGCTGGTGGGAGGCTATTGGTGGCAGAAGGCGGTCTCGTAAGTACCCCGGCCCTAAGCCATGGAGCGCTTTAAAGGTGGTCACCAACACCTTGAAGCGCACCCGGAAGACCACCGGGAGCCAGTGCAGCTCGTGCAGGAGAGGTGTCACGTGGGAGCGCCTCATCGCCCCCAAAATCCCCCGTGCGGCCGCGTTCTGGACCAGCTGGAGCCTCCGGGTGCACCCCAGGGGGAGCCCCATGTAGAGAGCGTTGCAGTAGTCCAGGCGGGAAGTGACGAGTGCCTGAGTGACTGTGCGTAGGGAGTCCCGATCTAGAAAGGGGCGCAACTGGCGTATCAGGCGGACCTGATAAAAAGCCCCCCTGGCCACAGCCGCCAAATGATCTTCTAACGACAGCCGTGCATCCAGGAGGACGCCCAAGTTACGAGCCCTCTCCGTGGGGGCGAGTGATTCGCCCCCAATAGCCAGCGATGGCGTCAGCTGGCTATATCGGGACGCCGGAAGCCACAGCCACTCGGTCTTGGAGGGGTTGAGTTGGAGCCTGTTTCTCCCCATCCAGGCCCGCACGGCCTCCAGGCACTGGGACATCACTTTAAGGGCATCATTGGGGTGGCCTGGGGTGGAGATGTACAGCTGGGTGTCATCAGCGTACTGATGGAACTCCACCCCGAAGCCACGGATGATCTCACCCAGCGGCTTTACATAAATGTTGAACAGAAGGGGCGAGAGGACCGACCCTTGTGGCACCCCACAAGCAAGGTGCCTCGGGGTCGACCGCTGCCCCCCTGTCCACACAGATTGCGACCGGTCAGAGAGGTAGGAGGAGAACCACCGCAAAACGGTGCCTCCCACCCCCAACCCCGCCAACCGGTGCAACATGATACCATGGTCGATGGTATCAAAAGCCGCTGAGAGGTCTAACAGGACCAGGATAGAGGAGCAACCCCTATCCCGGGCCCTCCAGAGATCATCCACCAATGCGACCAATGCCGTTTCCGTGCTGTGCCCAGGCCGGAAGCCGGACTGGAGCGGGTCTAGATAGACAGCTTCATCCAGGTACCGGTGCGGTGCGGTGGCTCAGTGGCTAAGACACTGAGCTTGTCGATCAGAAAGGTCAGCAGTTCGGCAGTTCGTATCCCTAGTACAGGTCTCCTGCATGAGCAGGAGGTTGGACTAGCTGACCTCCAAGGTCCCTTCCAACTCTGTTGCTGTTACATATTACGGTTGCTAATTTGCTATTTGTTTCCCCCCCACACTTTTAAGCCCAATTCAGCAATCAATTGCAGATAAATGTAAATGTTTATTTCCAAAAAAACCCCACAAATCTAAATTTGGGAGATAGGAAATAGCCAAAAGCTATGTTCCCCTGAAATGATACAATATTGAAAAAAAGTTTGATATCTCTTAAAATCTCAGGTGAATCAGAAATTAGGCACAAAGTACCCTGTACAAAAAATACCTGAAAAGCAGAATTAGAGAAGAGTGATAATATCATAATAAGGTTCCCCTCCTCTTGGGTTAAAGAGATATTGTACGGTAGTCCTCGACTTATGACCACAATCAAGCCCAAAATGTCTGTTGTTAAGTGAGACATTTGTTAAGTGAGTTATGCCCCATTTCACAACTTTCCTTGCCACAGTTGTTAAGTGAATCACTGCAGTTGATAAGTTAGTACACCCAGATGTTAAGTGAATCTGGCTTCCCCACTGACTTTGCTTGTGAAAAGATCTCAAAAGACTATCACATGACCTTGGGACAAATTAATGGTTGTAAATATGAACCAGTTGCCAAGCATCTGAATTTTGATCAAATGATCATGGGGATACTGTAAAAGTCGTAACAGTGAAAAATGGTCATGTCACATTTTTCAGTGTCATAACCTTGAAGTGCCCCTGAGCGAACTGGTAGTGACGGGTTTTGAAACCTGCCTCTGCATAGGATGTCCATCCTGGCCTACCAGGTACAGTGGGAAATATGCTCATTGATAAAGTGAGTGTAACCTAATTTCCTACACCCTGAATGTTACCTTGACTCCGTGCCCAAAGGAAGGGAATGACATACCAATAGACTCTCTGACCTTCCGCCTTCTAGTGTTATTTCCAGATTGGAAAGTGCTGCTTCCACTTCGTCGGTTTCACTCTCAACCGTGAAGTCTTTGGATCCTGTTGATAAGGTCATCTTACTGATATGGTACTGCAGTCAAGAGAAAAGATACCCACATGGTATCTGGTAAACTTGTTGATTTCATATACAGGAAACAAGCTGAGAAGTTAATAGTAAAATCTTTACAATTAAATTTGTTTAGCCTTTCCGTTTGTTTAGTATATTCTGACTCATCACATGTATAAAAGGCAATGGAAGCAATTATGTTTTTATCAATTTGATCCTTCTTCTCTTTTTTTACAGTATTATGTATTTACAGCATCTCAGTAATAGACTGTCAATCCTAATTTTACTCCAGGTTGCTGAATGATGTATTTATCAAAATCAAATCATTCCTGGTTGATTATACTTTCAGAAAGGCTAAAAGCTATTCATACAAAGTTAAAACAGACCAAATAAGATAGCAATAGTACTTATATACTGCTTCACAGTGCTTTACAGGCCTCTCTAATTGTCCCCAACAATCCGGGTCCTCACTTTACTGATCTTGGAAGGATGGAAGGCTGAGTCAACCTTGAGCTGGTGGGAATCAAATTGCTAAACTGCTGGCAGTCAACAATTAGCAGAATTAGCCTGCAGTACTGCATTCTAACCATTGTGCCACCACAACTCTGATGGTTTTGTTTTAACCTAGCCTATAATTTTCTATCCAGCAAAACATGTGGTATCTGCTAAGAGAAGCAGGGAAAATCATCCTTATGCAAGCAGCTCTTTCAGCTTCTCCAACAAGATATGTTCTAAACCGGAAGCGTCACGGCGACACTGGCTGGGAAATAGTGAAGCTCCGTTGAGCTTTGTGAAAACCCAGGCAGACAAACCACTGTCGGGTGTGTGTGTGTGTGTGTGTGTGTGTGTGTGTATCTTCGGACCAGAACCGTCTTGTAGGGACGGGGGAAAGAGAGAGGCGTCTCGGAAGACCAAAGAGGAACAGGCAAGTTCCTCGAACAGTCGGAGGCAGCTCTTTGACCCGGCGGTAGGGAAGGCGGCCATTAAGTCCACTACAAGCTGGGGCAACCAGACTAAGAGATGTGCAGGAGTGGAGTTTTGAACAGAGTATTGTTACCGGGTGAGTAATTGGCCAACTCACAGGTAAAAAGGAAAAAAAACTTTTAATAGCTTAAAGAAATCCCAGTGATAAATTGGCAGCTAATTGGCATGGAGGAACTTAAGCGGAGGGGAAAAAAAAAAAGGAACTTTAAAATCAAACCTGAAGCCCTAAAAGGAATCTTCCACCTGGACTTAACATTGGATTTCAAAAGGAAAAAAAAAAAAGACAAGGAAGAAGGAGGCAGAAAAGCATTTTTTAAATAACAAAAGGATTTAATTTGGAAAAGAGAAAGTAAGCGTTTTTGTGGATTACAAAATGGATACGTTGTTACTAGAAGATTTGTGAATTGGAGAAAGACATCTGCTGGCGGAAAGAGCGTGAGAAAGAGACGTGGGAGTACATATTCATGCAGGTGAACCAAGATTAAACAGAAGTGAAGGATAAAGATTGAAATTGTGTTCGCTCAAGTGAATATTTGAATTGGACATTAAAAAAAAGAGGACATTATAGGGACTTTGAAACCTGAAGTATATGTAAATGAAAAGAACAAATTTAAAAATCCTAGCCTTTTTAATTGAAAATATGGAGAATTGGGAGGATGAATATGAGATACTGAGGGAGATGTTTCAAAAAACAAGAGAAGCATTTAAGGGAAATAAGGAAGCAGAGGATTGGTTAGAATGCAAAAAAAAAGAAAGAGAAAAGATGAATGAGAAGCAAAAGAAACAAGGAGATAATACTGAAAAGGAAACAATTGAAAATAAAGATAAAGATGATTACACTGAGTTTAACAGTGACAGAATAAAAATAGATAAGGGAAACTACATCTCAAATATGAAAAGAAGAGAAATAAATGGGGAAAGATTGAGAAGGAAAATTAACAGAGTTAAAATTAAAGAAAAGAGGCTGAAGGGTAGAAATAAGAAAAGGAAAAAGAAGAAGGTAAGGGAATGGGAGAAAGGCAGGAAAGCATCAAGAAATGGGATTGTGGAGAGTCTAAGAGAAAATGGTTAAGAGTCAGTGAAAATGTCAATTTGTTAATAAAGAGAAGGATGTTAGTTGTAGAAATTATATGTGAAAATGTTGTTAAATGGAAAATATACCAGTAGATGCAATGTGAAAGAAAGAATGATATTGGAGGAAGCACTAAATGGAGAGAAACAAATAATAACATAAGGATTAATTGAAACTAAGATGGAAAATTGAAATTGAATGTAAAATTGAATGAAATTGAAATGTTAAAAAATGATTTAAATGTCATACTTGTAAGGGAATGGGAAAAAGGGAGAAAAGCATCAAGAAATGGGATTGTGGAGAGTTTAAAAGAAAATGGTTAAGAGTCAGTGAAAATATTAAAATGTTAATGTTAGTTGTAGAAATTATATGTGAAAATACTGTTTAATGTAAAATAATAGATCAGTAGATGAAATGTGAAAAAAAATGAACTATTTTGATGTTGGAGGAAGCACTAAGTGGAGAGAAATAAAAGCAACAAAAGAATTAATTGAAATTAAAATGGGAATTGAAATTGAAATGTAAAATTGAATGAAAATGAAATGTTAGTAAATGATGTAAATGACAAGACTGGTAAGAAGTAAAATGGAAGAAATACATTGTTAAAGGGAAAAAAGCAAGGGTTGGAAGATTATTTTAACAAAGGTTTCAAGGAAAAAATGCACTAAGTTGAAATATTTGTTAATAATTAAAAAGAGTAGGGGAATTTTGAGTAATATTTTTTAATAAATGAGAAAGATCGGGGTTGCCAGGATACCATAGTGGAAAATATTAAATTGAAAATGAATACAGCAATAGAGAGAGATGGAAGAGGAGTAGAGAGATGGAAGAGAAGGGGAGAAGAGAGAGGGATGGAAGAGAGGGGAGGAAGGAAGAGAGGGGAAATCAGAGTAGGAGAGAGGGCTAGACAGGGAGGAAGGAGGAGAAGGAGAAAGGAAGGGGAAGTAGAGAGGAGCAGGAGAGGAGGGAAAAAGGAAAGAAGAGAGGGAGATGGCAGGATTGAGAAGAAAGATTGCTGTACAACAAAAAAGATGAAATGGAAGAAAGGCAACCCTGAACATATAAGATAAAGAATGAATGGTTAAAAAATAAAAGAGAATAAATATGAATAAGCAGGAAAATTAGAATTTGAGGGCGAATGAAGATGCTGTTTATATAAGTAAGCAAAGAAATATTGAGATATGATTAAAAAAAGGGAAAAAAGAAAATTGTGGCAAAAATTGTAATTGAGTAAAATGTATTTGAATTTGATAAATTGTATAAGATAAGATATGGCCAAAATACTCTGTTCAAAAAAGATGTGGGTGAATGTGGGGGGAGGGAAAAAACCCAATAAAACTTGTTTTTTTTTTTTTTTAAAAAAAGATGTTCTAACAGGCTTGTTAGTGAGAAGGACCTTTTGCACTGATTCTTCTAGTACTCTTACTAAACACTTGGGCTAGTGCAGGGGTCGGCAACCTTAAATACTCAGAGCCACAAAGGTCCTAACCGGAAGCCTCCTATTCAATTCTGGAGCTGACCAGAAGTCTGATTCCTCCACCATAGAGTCTCCTCCTAGCATAGCGTCCTTTTTCCTTTACCTGTCCTAACTGAAAGCCCTATCAATTGTGGAGCCGACCAGCGACAGGGAGCTGCAGCAGAGGGATGAAAGAGCCACATGCGGCTCCAGAGCTGCGGGTTGCTGACCCCTGGGCTAGTGTGTTCCCCATGCATAAAAAAGAAAGGGGCAATCCATCTGAAACAGAAACAATATATATTATATGGCCTCTTTTTTTCTTTTCTTTTGCATCTCCCCACCCTTTAGATTCTGTTTCCAAGGCAGAATCAGTGGATCCTGTATCCCACTTAGAGAACGCTGAGATCCTGCCAGCATTTTGCAGCCAAATGTTTGTATTGTTTTTCCAGGGTTCTCATTCTAGTTTGAGTTTCCTTAATCTCATCCATTCTTTCACCTTCTCTTTTTCTTTCTCCTCTCTCCCCCACTTCATTTCTACATCTATTTATTTATGCAAAGGATGGACAGAAAGAACAGGCATAAGTTTATCTGAAGGAAGTTTATCACTTTCTCACTGGTTACAAGAGGAAGATAGATCTTTAAAGGAAAAAATGTCCTTTCCAACTTTCTGGAAATCCCTTTTCCAGCTAAGAGTTTATCATTTTTTTCCAAAGGTTGTATGAAGGTATACTTTACCAAAAAATAATAATCATCATCAACCAATTGATAATTATTGATGAACCAATTGATGAACCAATCAGGTTCGCCTGATACGCCAGTTGCGCCCCTTTCTGGATCGGGACTCCTTATACATAGTCACCCATGCCCTCGTCATGTCTTGCCTGGACTACTGCAATGCTCTCTACATGGGGCTCCCCTTGAGGAGCACCCGGAGCCTCCAACTTGTCCAGAATGCGGCCGCGCGGGTGATTATGGGAGCGACGTGGTGCTCCCATGTAACACCTCTCCTGCGTGAGCTGCACTGGCTCCTGGTGGTCTTCCGGGTACGCTTTAAGGTGTTGGTTCTCATCTTTAAAGCACTCCATGGCTTACGGCCAGGGTACTTACAAGACCGCCTGCTGCTACCGATAACCTCCCACCGGCCAATACGCTCTCACAGAGAGGGCCTCCTCGGGGTGCCGTTGGTCAAGCAATGTCGGCTGGTGGCCCCCAGGGGGAGAGCCTTCTCTGTGGGGGCACCTGCCCTGTGGAATGAGCTACCTCCTGGAATACGACTGATCCCGGACCTCCGGACCTTCTGTAAGGCCCTGAAGACTTATTTATTCCAGCAAGCCGGCCTAGCCTAAAGGGTTTTTAATGGGATTTTAAAATTTTTATAGACTTGGGGTTTTAAAATGGGAGGCCAATTGATTTAATCTTTTTTAATTATCTTAACTTTTGTATTGTATGTATTTTAATTTTGGCTGTTCACCGCCCTGAGTCCCCTTGGGAGAAGGGCGGTATACAAATTAA